ACACGAAAAATTATTTCTTGTACATTTTTTGATAGCAAATTTCGCTTTCTTTAAATTTTATACTTAAAAAGGTATTTTTTATTTTAAAAAAGTTGCTAATTATGAGTTTTTTTTACAATTTTGAGGGATTTATTCATAAAACGTCGTATCCGTCAATTTATTAATGATGCCTATACTGCATAAAATATGTTTTCACATCTATTTCAATATTTTATGACATCTATGTGACTCCTTCCCCAAACTGTACGTAAAAACGTACTTTTCCTTAAAAAGGATGTACACAGTGCGCAGTTTTAAACCTTGAATTCGAGTGTAGCAGTCAGTAGGTTAGAAAAGTATTCGGCAATTGAGAAACATTTTTTACAGCTGAACGATACCCTTTCTTTAAGCGTTAAATTTAAAGAAGGCGCAATTTGCTATCAAAGAGTACAATAAATATTTTCTTTGTGCATGTTTTCCATAAATCATATTTGAATTTATAAAGGCAGTCTTGATAAATGATAAAAGGGCATACTACTTAAGTAGCCAGTTTTTAAAATAGATACGTGTTGCTAGTGGTCAGAACGAAGTTTCTTGGAAAGCCCGCATTTTATCATGACTCAAATGACTTCAGAATAGAGTACACGATAATCAGTCTCACAACCTGGGTAAATGCCGATTAGTAAAAGAGCATTCATCTTTCGCATATGTCAGCGTGTTGCTTGATTTTCGGCGAGCACTGTTTATGGCGCGTGCATTGTTTTTAGAGCAAAGAAAAGTATGGGTAGATACCTTTCCTTTATTTACTCGTCATACGAAATTTCAACGGCGAAATAGAAACAAAGGTCTACACGAACACCACAAAGCATCTCAATTTTCACAACGACCACCCGGGGCTCACAAAGGAAGCTGCGCAAGAACACTTTTAAAAACAAAATCCAGACTCACTGCAGTAATCCGAAAGAGAAAGCACGTGAGGCCCGATATCTCCGCGACAAATTTACGCGGAACGGCCGACCGATGGTCTTCATAAGCCGACGCCTACGTGCTCACCTAACGAGGACTCAACCAGAACCAACCCGCACGATATGGCATGAGTTGCAATACATCAAGGACGTGTCGGAAGCAACCGAGCGCATTGTTGCAGGACTAGGTCTCGGAATTACGCACTGTCCCAAGGCTACCGTTTGGAGTCGAGTGATGAAAATTGGG